CGTGCTGAGGCTTTCAGAGAGCAAAGCCAGGAACACCAGAAATCCCTCACTGCTGACAAAATGTCTGGAATTTGGAAAGCTCCAACTTTTCAAGCCTTTGAAAATTTCGGTCTCTGCTTTCATTGCCTTTGGAAGCTTTTTTTTTTTGTTTGTTTTGTTAATTTTTTTTGTTAATTTTTTATTGTTAAATTTTTTTTTTAGTTATTTTCTTCTCTTCAATAAATTATTCCCTAAAGTACAGTCCTAGAGGCAGGAAAATGCTCCTCAAGTTCAGGTTCACTGAAGAGCTTCAAACAAAACTGAATGACAGTGGACAATCAGGGTCAGACTCCAGGATTTTGGGGGTCTTTTCCCACCTAAATGATTCCATGATTCTGTGATTCCATGTATTGGCTTTTGGTGCTCGGGATATACAAGCACCATTTTTTAAAACAGGGAATAAAATGAAAATGGAGTGTTCTAGAAATCTAGGAAGTTCTAGAAGAACTAGTGATAAACCACTAAAACCAGCATTGCTTTCCCACATTTCCCATTCTGAATTTTCCTTCAAAACAAGAGATTTTGTCAGCAAAGAAAAATTTGCAGAATATTTTTTTAATTCCTTCTTTTTCCAAGCTTGGCCTTTCATTAATATTTCTGCTCCTTTTTGTTGTCTGTATTTCTCTGCTCTTGTGCTGCATCCAGTGCCTGGTGCAGTTTGGGTTCCAATTCCTCACCAAACCCTTTCTATTTCCTCAAAATATAATCAATATTTCAGAGAAATCTATTCAAATAACAAGCCCAAGTGAATCAAAAAGCAATTATCAAGACCTGGGAAGTGACAGACAGTCTTAAAAATGTTCACAGCTTTTAGTGTTTAGAATTCACCTGTTGGGGACTATCAGATCTCGTCTGTGAAAAACAAAATAAAGCTCAATTGATAGTGATTAATAACAGGCTAAATTTACAGTATAAACTTCTACAGTAGTATTTGAGTGGAGGATTTGATTTTAAGTCCATTTCTGAGGGATTTTGGTAGTTAAATAATAGGAAAGATCCTTTTTAAGAGCTAATTAGAGGGCACTAAAGGGCTCCCAGTGCAGCACTGGTTTGCTCTGTGCTCCTGTTCCCATTCTGCCACTCCACAACTGTCACCCCTCATTAGCATTTAAATCATAAGTATTTGGGCTTAAATAAGCTTTATTTCTGCTTAATGTAATGCCATGATTTTGTGTCCTTTTTAGGGTCTTTAGCTTAAAGTAGGAGAGCTTATGATAAATACTGGAGATGTGGGAGAAGTTGATTAAATTAGTCGTGGAAATGGACAGTAGGAAACAGGAGGAAAAGTGCACAGATGAGCAAATTGGGGGGTTTTCAGCTCTGTTCTCAGAATTTGTTAATGCATTCAGTCTGCTGTTGGAAAAAAATAGAAATATTAAAAGACTTTTATAAGTGAGGATTAGCAGGGAGGGAAAAAAAAAGAAAAAAAGAGAGTTTTTTGCCTGCTGGAAGAAGTGAGTGCTCTGTGAGCAATCTCCCAGGGCTTCTAATATCATCAATTTTGGATGTTAATTAGGGGGGAAAAAGTGTAGGTGAAAAAACGAAACTCAAAAATCCCCCCAAAGAATAAAAAGTTAAATTTAACCCCCCACAACCCAAAAGCCTTTAAGACCCTTTCCTAATAAGATTGCTTAAAACTGCAATGGGTGAGATGAGAGAATGATTTAGAGCTGCATCAATTGCTGTGCTTTAAATCCCTCAACTTTGCTTTGCTTTTGGGGGTTCAGGATGAGTTTGGTTGCCCATCTGCTGTGAAATCCCCTTGTTTCCTGAGAGTGCTGAGAGCAGAGAACACAAATACCTGTTCAGAGCCAACCTCCTCCTAAAAATTGCAGGTTTTTTTGCAAAATGTCTGATCTGTGGCCACATTTCAGGAGTGGAAAATGACTTTGATGGAGGTCAAGAGGCAAAGCTCTCCACCCTAAGAAGGAATTTGAACTCAGAAACTCCACTAAAACCAATGTGTCACCTGGAGGAATAGGAAATTATTATCCAAACAGATTTACAATAAGCAAGTGCCCAGCAATTAAATATTATTGTTGTGCATTATTTCCACTTATTGGCTTTAAATAGCAAAGGGAGGTTTTGGGGAAAGAGGGCAGATGTTGTATCATCTTCTCAATCATTTGGATCTCAGACGCTTTGGGACAAATTCTGGGCTGTTCTGTCAATATAAATCCAGAAAGTCTCCCTAAATTTAGCAGCAGTTCTCTGGGCTGGACCAATATTGACAACTGCAGCTTCACAGAGACTTAATTTGGAGCTTAAGCCAGTCTTAAGTCTGATTTCAGTTGAATTAGTCAGATTTCTAATAGGTAAGGTTCTGCTTTTGTCCTGATTTACCAAAGCTCTGGAAATAAACCAGTGAAGAGCCTTCAACCTCTCAAAGAGAATAATTTGAGGGGGCACCTGGTATGAAATTAAAACAGGGAAAGGCTCTTCCCAGTCTCTCGTGTCCTACAGGTTGTCCAAGGGAACTGCTGAGTGGGGGGTTCAAAACAAACAGTGTGCCAGGAGATGCTGTTGATGCCAAAATAAAGTCAAAGGGAAGAATATTTTTTTTTGGAAGAAAAATCCATTAAATGTTTTTCAGCCCAAATATATAAAAATTATTGTGAGCTGGGCAAGGCTTTTTCTGTGTAATTCTCACTTTGTCCCTCCCTGCTGAATGCAGGGGGAAGTGTCACCTTTGGTGTTCAGTGAACAGGTTTGAATTGGGTGAGAAGTGTAAAACACTAAAGAAACCTCAACATGCCCAGGGAAACAGGATCTGAAACTGTCACAGGCAAAATAAAACCAGTTTCAAGGGAACTTCATAAATAAATATAACGGGCTGGGTGAGGCAGTTCCTCAGAGCCTCTCAAGAGAGAGACCTGTCCCCTCAAATCCCATGGAAATCCCATGGAAATAAATACTAAATAAATACCAATAAATACTCGAATACCACGAGGGAAAAAAAGTGGGGGAAAAACAGAGAGAGGAAAAGAGAAAAAGAAGGGAAAAAAGAAAAGGAAAGCCCTTGCCATGGTGAAGGATCCTGCTCCCAACAGGGGGAGGAGTTTTGGAGTGATTGATTTCGAAGAATAAAGATGTCAGAACGTGTCCTGCAGTAATTTACACATATCTTCCCTTAATGAAAATGAATGACTTGTATTTCATGTAGATGTGCATTAAACACTCCATATATCAAACTCCTCGCTGCACAGTCCTGGGAAGTAAGAAAACATCAAAGTTATTGCCCAAACAATGGGTTATATATGACTGAGTGTGGAGCAGTAATAGAAGCCCATCAATCTCAGGGCAGGCCTTAGGCTGGGGTTTGATGTGTTCTGAGTGAGCCAGGCCCAGCAGAGCAGCTCTGAGTCAAGCTCTGGCTTAGCTAAATCTTCCCCTTTGTCAGCAGGAGTGGATTTATTCCAGTGGGCCTGTGCTTATCAATATTTTACTGGGTCAAGTCTGGCAAAGGTTCACACGTGTGAGCTGGTTCCTTTTCCAGCTGGGTTGGTACAGTATTATTCCAGCTTTATTACCAGTGAAACTCTCTCAGACAGCCCTTGACTGGGGTGTTACAGCCCTTGACTGGGGTGTTACAGCTCAATTGGATTTTAGAAGCCATTTTAAATTTTTTTTTCTACAGGGGAGAAATTCCTTGAGCTGTTCCAACTCAGAGAGAATTGCCAGGACAGCCTGTATTTATAACAGAGCTTCTTGCAGCCCTGTAAATCTACATCTGTGTGTTCAGATTGGCAGGAATTGGGTGCAGAAAGAGAGGTTTTGATCAAATCATTACAAATCTAAATAATGGTAATGTTGTCCACATCCCAAGGGTCCAGTGAGGGCTTCCAGAGAAGCTTTGGGAAGAATTTAACCCAATTTAACCCATTTTCAATGTGGAAGGCTCAGAAGTTTCTAGAATCCATGGGCAATTACAGTCAGAATTAAATCCTCCAGAGAAAGCATCTTCTCCCATTTGAAAATTGCTCATAAACAATCAAAATCTGCAATAGGGAATCATAAAAGACCGGTTTTGATAGTCTGTTGTGGTGGGAAAAACAACTGGAAAAGCTTAGTCTGAGATGTTTGCTCATCAGTTAATTGTGGTTTGAAACTTTTGTTTTAATGCCTGTTTACAATAAAACCGCAGGAGGAGAAAGAGTTTCTTAAATACAGGTTGCTATGGAATTTTTGTGAGGAACAAGCAAATTGAAGTGACTAAGAGGGCAGAAAATACATGTGAGACAGGAGCAAACAGGAAACAACAAACTGAATTAAGTGTGTTCCTGCTCTGGGAAAAAAAATAGAGACAGGACTAAAAACAGCTTGAGCTGCTCTTTGTTCCCAACTGTCACCAGTCTACAAAATATCCCAATTTTGGAGGATGAAGTGGCACTTCTTGCTTGAACAACTTGGTTGGAGTTGGGTTAGAAACACTGGTGAGTGCAGACAGGAAGAGAGGAGGGGAAAAAGTGTTTCCAAGGTTTCTTTTTTTTTAACCAAAATCAAGCAATTTAATAACTTGAGGAGGTGTTTGCATATAATACCTTCTGTATTTACCCACATATTAAAACAAAGGGTATCCTGGGGAGAATAACTCCCGAAGTCACCTGGGGCTCTCTGGGTAAAGTGCTGGGAAATTCCTTCTCCAGACAGGCAAAAATGTCTCTCACTGGGATCTCTTTTTTATGTGAGACAGGAGCAAACAGGCAACAAACTGAATCCAGTGTGTTCCTGCTCTGGAAAAAAAACAGAGACAGGACTAAAAGGAACTTTTTGTTCCCAGCTCACTCCAGTCCAACAGAATATCCCAGTTCTGGAGGGGGAAATGGCACTTCTTGCTTGAGCAACTTGGTTGGAGTTGGATCCGAAGCAGGAGAAAAATTGATAAGTGCAGACAGGAATAGAGAATGTTTCCCAGGTTTCTTTTTTTCCCCCAAATCAAGGAATTTAATGACTTGGGAAGATGCTTGCACGAGGTGTTTGCACTTGGGTCAATTTACAGCAGACACGGAATAATTTTGGCCTGGTTCTCCAATGTTCCTGTTGGATAAGTTTGGGGTTTTATCTTCTGGAATAACTCAGTTGATCTGAGCCTCTCCACACACAAGCAGTGCTTAGGAGATTGTTAGGCTTAATTAGTTTATAAATCTGTCTCCAGTAGCTGCACATGAAAATTTAATGTGCCAAGCCCACAACGCCACGGTGTTTTGTGCTTTGTTAGGAGACAATAGCCTGGAATAGACTAAAGATGGGAGCAATAAAGATTAAAAACCTTTCAAAATAGTACAGATGTCCCAGAGCTCCTTCCAGAGCTGTAACCAGGCAGTGGTGACACTATGGGGACACCCAGGTTCTGGACAAAGGCCTTGATGATATTTTCAATGAACTGTATTGATAATTATCTCCCCCATCCCCTAATCCTGGATAAAAATTGCAATATAATTACATTTACTGTTGCTTTTGCCCCCATCCCCCAGCTGCAATATTAGATGTTTCCAATAGTAAAGACTTTTTGGGTGAAGGTTCTTTTTTCCTTTCCATTTTTGGGCTGTGTTTGCAAGCTCGAGAATGGAATTCTTTACACCAGCTCTACCTGTGGGCAGCCTTGCTCCTCAATAATATGGGGGGTTTTTTCCTTGCTTATTTATGCATAAATGCAATAATTGTTGCTGCTTCTCACAAGGGAAGCTCATCCTGTGTCAGGGAGGCCATGCCAAGAATATAAATAGAATAATCCCCTGTTCCTGCAGCTCTGAGTAATCCACGCTGCACATCTCACAGGTGATAACAGCTTAAACATGAATTCATCTGAGAGCATTATGTGATAGAAAAGGTACACAGAGTTAATTAAGCCTTGGGGGCGTCCAGGATTGATCCTGAGCTGCTGTAAATTGGCTTAACTTCGTTGGCTTGAAAGGAATCAGCCTCATTTACACCAGAGGAGGATTAAGCCTCTCTATTTTAAGATGCTTTAGATTTGAATATCTCGAATTAACACGTACAAATTCTTTATTAAAGGAATGATATTAATTATTCAGTGTACAATAGGGTGTGTTTCAAAGAGTAGGTTTAAATAGTTTGGAAGTGATAGATAGAACAGGAACCCATTTACCAGCCACAAAGCTTTGTCATGGTTTCATTTTGTTCCCTAATTGCCTCCTGGCCTGTCCCCATTCTCCAGAACCTGGTGTGGCCCATGTCTGAGTGGAGATGACACCTCTGATCACCGAGGAGAAATAATTGCTGGCTTTCTTCAGTTCAAACATTTCTTCCCCATGCTGAACCAAAATTAAATGAATTTTTCAAGTCCTGCAGGAGGCAGAAAGAAACAGCGACTTCAGGAGAGCTGGACCCTCCCAGCCAGGTAGGGCTTTGCCAGCAGGTTCCCAGGATATCCACCCGCTTCTTGAAGTCCAAATTTGGGTAAATAATGTATAAAATAAATGTGTTGAGCAAAGGTTTGAGCCTGTTTTCTTTTTAGAGCAAGTATCTGAAAAGCATCACAGAATCTCAGGATGGTTTGGGTTGTGAGGGACCTTAAACCCACCCAGTGCCACCTCCTGCCACGGGCAGGGACACCTTCCACCAGCCCAGGGTGCTCCAGCCTGGCCTGGGACACTTCCAGGGGTGGGGAATCCACAGCTTTCCTGGGAAGTCGCTGTTGTTGTTACAAACATCCTCTCTCACATTGTGACCAGAAATGGTCAGGTGTGAATAAACCTTTGCTAAAAAGTGTTCCTTGAAATGGAGGAATTCCTGGGAAAAGTGGCAGCTCCAACAAATCAATATTTTTCTGACAAAAAAGAAAATGGTCTGGAAAATTCCCAATTAACTCTGCTCTTGGGTTCTGGTTCCTGATGGAGATATTTCATGGATTTGTGTGTCTGCCACCAAAATGAACAGGGACTTCTGAAATGTTAAGGATGGTTTTTTGAGGTTTTCAGGCACAGAACAGTTTTTTGGTTTCCCCTGTGCCTCAAACTTCCTGTCTCCTCTTGTGCCCTGTTTCAACTCTCAATTTCCCTGAGTTGTACCTAAAACTTGTGTTTGACTCAAAACCTCCTCCAGGCTGGTGAATTTGGGTTTTTTCTTGTGTCTATGTGCATCCACACAAATATACATATACATTTATAATACACTTATATATAATATATATTTATTTAATATATTTATATATATTTAATATATTTATATATTTTATCCTTATTTATATGAGTATGTTTTAAATTCCTTTCTTAAACCTTCCTAGGATAATTTTTTCTCCAAAGGTACTTTTTGCCAAACCAGTTTCTCACATCCAAATAATTCCTTTTAGTTTAAAGAAAGTGCTTTATTTCATGAGCAGGATATACTAAGGGATTCAGGCTATTGATTCCTTTCAAACAGCCTGAGTCTCTAGCAGCTTTATACTTTTTGTTCATTTTTTAATGAGTAATGAAAAACAGTTTAATATCATTATGTTCATCAGATAAAACTCACTGAGGTTCAAAAGAAAGTCCTAAATAGATTGTGAGCTCAGCCCTGTCTCAGGAGAGCCCTGTATTTTCCAGGCTTCTGCATCCTGACACATCCAGCCCTCCCCCAATGTTTATTTAATTCTGCCAGGGAATGCTCCTGGGCTGTGTTTTATGATACCAGGGGAGAATTGGGCTGGAGGAAGAACATTACAGAGTTGGTTATTCTGAGCTATTTCCTCCTCCTGTGGATCCTGGCCATGGCACCTCCTAAATAATGGAGCAATGATTTACTTCCTCGGATTTGTTTTCCTTTGTTCCCCTTATTTGTTTTCCTTAGTTCCTCTTATTTGTTTTCCTTAGTTCTTCTTGTTTTCTTTAGTTCCTCTTGTTTTCTCTGCTTCCAGAGTGTGTGTTTTATATATGATAAAGCACACAGGGATTTTGAAGTGTCCAAAAGAGCATCTCCTGGCAGTGATGGAGAATTCCTGCTTGGAGCAGGGATCTGACCCTGGCATGGGGGACAACATTCTCCTTGTTACTCCTCTGTTTATGCATTAAATACTCTCTTTTTTCAGCACATGGCTCTTTCAGCTGGTGCTACAAATCTTAGTCATTGCTGCTGTCCAATCTGCCTGCTCATGGTGAAGAGTTAAATCAATAAAAATGTAATTCTCCCATCCCTGCCTTGTAAACCCTGGCTCAAAGGAAGCTGGTGGATGGTCTTGCATATAAACCCCCCAATGCAGAACCTCAGACAGGTTATTGCATCTTTTTGTGCTTTCTGGAATCATATTTGTTTAGTTCTGCTATAAAAGAGGATTCTGTTATAAAAGAGAATTTACACTTGACACCCTTGTGAACACTTTGCCCTCTTAATAATCTATTTTGGGGAATTAACTCGAGTTTTTGGCACTGTTAGTTAGTAACATGTGCAATGTCACCAGAAAGAAGGGAAGTTCCTCACAGTCAAATGAAAGACAGTGTGTGAAATATTGTGCCCAGAGAGCTGGAATAAATTCTGATGTATCTGGAGGTTTTAATGGCTAAAATTAGATGTATCAATACATGCAAGTCTGCAGCACCTCCCAAAGCAGCAGGAGCTGCCCGTGTCCCAGCAAGTGCAAATGTCAGCACTTCTGTGATCCATCCTGGCACAACATTTGGGGAATGAGGACAGGGCAGAGGCCTCCCAAATGTTCTTCTGTTGCCATTTGATTGTCACTGTTTCAGTGTGTCACACCAGGGCTCTCCAGCAGCATCATGACCCACCCCATGCAGGGTGTGCTGCGGGGAGGGGGAACTCAGGGGGCACTTCCAGAGCTCACATCATTCCTGGAGGTGAGAAAGGCTGCCAAGAGCAGGAGGAACCAAAGTCCTCCCTCAGCAAAACCTTCCTTTGAGCTGTGGAACAGCCAGTGCTGGTCCAGCCTTCCCTGCTTGCCTTGGACATACATCTCCATCATCATCATCATCATCATCATGGCCGGGCTTTGTGAACGAAGATTTGGGAAGGGCTCTCCCCACATTTGTCACAAGCACGTTGGTGGCTAAAAAGGCCAATATGAGACAGACACGTCCGGTTGCAAAAGGCACAGCAGAAAGACTCCTTGGGTGGAATATTCTGCAGGACACGATTCTTTCTGCGTTGTCTTTTCTCCTCCAGACTGATCCTGGTGCTTTCTCAAAGGCATCAGCAGCGTTATAGATGGTGTGTCTGCAGAGCTCCCCATTGGAGGCCAGAGTAGACCAGTTCTGTTGGTCAATGTGGCCAAGGCTGAGATGTTGTTTCAGGGAGTCCTTGGATCTCCTCTTTGGGGCTCCTCTCTTGCAGCAGCCGGTGGCAAGTTCCCCATAAAGCAGGATCTTAGGGAGGGGGTGGTTGGTCCTTCATCCTGGAGCCGTGCCCTGCCCAGCACAGCTGTGTTCTCACAACACGGCCTCAATACTTGTGACTGCTGCTTGTTCCAGAACAGATGTGTTGGTCCCATCATCTGCCCAGGGGATGTTCAGGATTGTCCGGAGGCAGCGTTGCTGGAGCGTTCCAGGAGTCGCAGGTGGTGGCTGTAGATGACCCATGATTCAGATCCATAGAAGAGAGCAAACAGCACTATGGCTCTGGAAACACTGAGCTTGGTGCTTTTCTTCAGGTGTTTATTTCGCCAAACTCTTTTATGGAGTTTTCCCAAAGCTCTCTATGCCTTTGCTACCCTGTTGTCCATCTCTCCATCAATCTCACCATCCGAGGAGATGAGGCTGCCCAGGGAATGAAACTGCTGGGCTGATTTGAGCTCTGATTCACCAATGGTGATATGGGGATGATGGAAGACATCTGCATCACTTTAAAGAGAATTCACAAAGGAGACCAACCATTGGTGTCCATCTGGAGGAGAACTGGTTGCAGAATCATGGAACACAACTGATGGCATGTGGGAAATCCTCCAGCCCACCCCCTTGCCCTGAGGTGAGTGGTGTTCCTGTGCTGTTCCACAGTTTTCATGTGCTGTTCCCCACACTTTTCATGTGTGTGTGTGCTCAGTGTCTTCCCAGCATTTCATTCGGGGGCTACTTCAGTGCCAGTAGAGCTTTGAAGTTTTTTTCCCAGTTCTGAAGCTTAAAAGCTTTTTTCCCCAGTGCCTAATTTACATTTCCACTACTTCACTATAAGCCCATTGCTACTTGTGCTACTCCACAATGGACACAGAGAATAAATTCTCGTTCTCCTTGCAGAAATCTTTTTCATATTTAAAGGTGATTATTGTGTCTCACTTCAGTCATTTTCCCTCTAAATTAATCACTATCAATGATTTCAGGACTTCTTGTTGTCAGGGTTCCTGGTTCTCCTCAGCATCCCTTCCTGCATCTCTTTGGTGCTGAAAATGGAACAGTGCCTTTCACATTGTTTAATGAGATGGGCTTTTAGAGCTCTGATCTGGGCAGATGCAAATTTGGGATGATTTTCTGGGGCACACAAAGCTGAGTACACAAGGAAGGATACAAAGCTGCAGAGGGTTTTTTTTGGTGTAAGAAAACATCTTAAGTGGCTGATGCCACTGGGGTACCTCACTGGGGACAGGGAAGAGACTTTCACTGCATTTACTGCTTGATATTTCAGGTTTGTGCAAAGCAGAAAAGTTCCTGCTCTGCCTCATTTTGGTAATGGATTTAAAGGAGGACTTTTTAAGGCTGTCCCCAGCCCTGCTATATTCACTTGGAGCTGCCCCATCTTCCCATCTGATTGAGGAATTTTACCTTGGGGGAATGGTTTTCCTTGCAGGGCAGGATTGTTTTGGAGAGTGGTTCCTCTTCAAAGGTGCTGCTCAGGGGCACTGGGAGGGGTTATGCACAGGAAATATGCTGTGAAAATGGATGAGCAGGGAAAGGGAGGCACCAGGAGCCTTTGGATCTCTGAGAGAAGGGATTTTGTGCAGCTGGACCAAGTGTGTCCAGCTCTGGCATCAGCTGGATGAGCAGCAAGGGGCCGGAAAAGCCCTTGGGAACAGAACACAGCTGGGAATTTGCTGTCCCAGTCAGCAATGGACCTTCTCCCTGTCCCCACAGGTGTGTCCTGTGCCATTCCCTGCATGGATTTTCAGTCCATAAGCAACAATCCAAGTTTGCTGTGCCCTCTTTTTCCATATGGACTCACATGAGTTTCAGAAGGTGAGACCTCACCTGTGGCAGAGTCACTGGAGAAGACAAAGCTTCCTCAGGATCATCCATTGCCAGGCAGGCTGGCAATTCTCTGGCACTTCCAGAACAATTCCCTGGCACTTCCAGAACTGCTGCCTCTTTTTCTTCCCCACCAGCCATCAGTGGTCACCTGTTGGGGATAAAGAACCTTCTCCAAGGGGGAAGGGGCTGGCAGGAATTAGCTGCAGTGTTGTGAACCCTCAGGCAGATCTCCCAGGCTGTACATCAGTGGGATGAGGGACACAAACCCTGTCTGTGCTCAAGCCCTGCAGAAAACACGAGCTAAACCTCTGTGGGAATGTTTGATGTGGAATTATTGCTGAGCACTCAAATATTGATCAAATCTAAGCTTCAGGTGAGAGGAGCCTGGGTCTCACCCTGCCTGTGGTGTTTGGGAGATGTTCCAAGGCCACACGTGTCTTGTGCCTGGAAAAGCTTCTCCCCATCAAGGTAAATTTAGGCAAAAGAAGGATCATGCAGTTTATTCCATGCTGTGGCAGCCTGAGGAGCTGCCCTGAGGACTCCTGACCCCCCAAACTGAAATACAAACTAATATTTGTGCCATGGAATGGTATTTGTGGCTCTGACCCCGAGTCTGTCCTATGCACGTCGTTGAATTTTAAGGATCTCTTTGTTCTGTGTGTTCATATCTCACAAAATCAGAAGGGATCGTTTTGATCCTTTGCTTTAGAATCCAGGAATGATTCAGCTGTGGGATTATCTGAATGACACCCATGCAAAAAAATCTCTCCAGGCAGGGGTTTGAGAGGTGGGAGCTGAGCCTCAGATTAATAGCTGTGATGAATGGACAATTTGACTCAATCCCTGGTGGCAAACACTCTGGAAGGGAAGGGAATTTTCCTTGGGGATTGATGCTTCCCATTGATACAGGTCTTTAAAAGCAGTGCACAGCTGACATGAGTTATCTGAAGAAC